CCCATCATATCCCACACGTGCTCAATTGGGGATAAGTCGGGAGATCTTGGTGGCCATGGTAACAATGTGACATCATTATGTTGAAAGAAGTCTATTGTGACTCTTGCAATATGTGGTCGGGCATTATCTTGTTGGAAAGTTGGATCTGCCTGGGTGTCAAGATAGGGTAAAAGATGGGGTTCTAGAACTTCGTGGATATAACGCTGCGCGTTCATGTTACCTCTGATGAAGATTAAAGGTGACCTGGAACCATAAGCTATAGCACCCCAAACCATAACTCCAACACTGTGATGAACATGTCTTCCAACAAAAAACTGTGGATTCCTCCTTTCACCACGTCGCCTTCTAACCTTGGCACGACCATCGTGCATGCCTAAACAAAATCGAGACTCGTCACTAAAGACACTACTATTCCATTCCTGATCCCAGAGTGACCGTTGTCTGCACCACTCAAGGCGATTACGTCGGTGTTCTCGAGTTAAAGGGAGGACCCAGTGTGGCCGACATGAAAACAAGCCAAAACTTCTCATTCGTCGGTAAACACTTCGCATGCCAATAGGTCTTCCGTGTTCTGCAAACCATTCATTTGCAATGGACCTGGTAGTGGAGACACGATCCCTTAAGGCCAATAATCATTGCTCTTTGCGTACGGCCTTCTCGAAGCCATGCCTGACAACACCTAACCACAGTGTCTACACTTCTTTGCACTCTAACTGCAATTGCCCGAAAAGAAAGTCCAGCTTCCCGAAGTCCCACTATACGGCCCCTATCAAACTCACTAAGTTGACGAAATCGTACAGGTCTCCGTACTCTAGGCATCGTAACCGATCGTAAAGGAGGTCAAGAACCAAAATCCGCCAACGTTGATTCTTTACTGCGGCTGAAATATTCATTTTTAGAGCGTTAGTGAATTAAAAAAAAGCAGTATAAAAACCGGAATGTCCAACTGATAAGGCTGAAAATTTTTTCACTTTTTATTTACAGTAAGATAAATACATTCACCAACTTTTATTAAAATAAAACCATTTAAACTGGGTGTTCGGATTTATATGTCACTTAGTATATTTGAGATTTAAGACATATTAGTACCAGAGTTTACTATTCAGCTCATATTTTTTTAGCTTCCACATTATAAAAACCTTTTTTAATAGTTCATGATCTTTATAGAAATAAAACAACGTATTTTTTTGCAAAATTTCGTAGATTTTCCGAATCGCGGCCTACTTTTTCACCACCGAAATATCTGTGTACCGGACTAACAAGGGCAAGGGGTGGTGCCTGGCACAGGGATGGCAGACAACAGATTCCTGACCGCAAATTTCCATTCTTAATTGCTAGGCGTCGGGGATAATGCCTCTCGCCAAAAGAATTAATTAAGGGACGTCTTTTTCTGTTATCTCTCTGCCCGCTTGATGAATTGTCTTAAACTTTTGAGGTTAGTTGGATAAGAAAACTGGGACGGAAGGGAACAGAATAAATCATTTTATATTCTTCTTGAGGTCCTTGCAAATATTTACTACCCACGCCGTAGTAGCGTATTGCAGTCGAAAAGGTTTTTTGTCATTTATTTTCGTCCGTCTGTCTGTCAGTCCATCTGTCGGTCTGTCGGTTTGTCCGCTAATCTTTAGACCACCTATAACTTGGAAGGTACCGATGGGATGTTTATGAACTTTTCAAACAAGGCACCTCAATATCAAGGACGAAAACACATTGTAGTTTTCAGATCATCGGCTGACAGTCAGAATGATTGGGGAAAAGTTAAATTTGACTCCCACCACCGTTCATCAGATCAATAACAACTAGGTGGTGCATTACGATAATGCTCCTTGTAACCCAGCAATGTCAGTAAACAAGTTTTTAGCCACTAAAAACATTCCCGTGGCTTCTCAGCCTCCTCATTTGCCTGACTTGAGTCCTTGTGATTTTTATGTCTACCCGAAGTTGAAAAATCTATTCAAACCATAGTAACCAACCAGCTGAAGGCTAGGCTTATTTTAAAGTTGGCAATATAAAATTGTAGTTATAATGGGTGATTTTTTTGCTAGTATCTGTTTGCCAACACTGTCATTGACAGATGACGCGTGATTCGTGTCTTGTGTCATTGTCAAACTTGTTCAGTTTGGTCTATAATTTAACCATGAATCGACTTACGAACTAACAACGCTTGCAAATTATTGAATTTTACTATCAAAATTCATGCTCGGTTAAGAGAGTGCATCGAGCACTGCTTCCAATTTATGGGCAATTTGGTCGGCCTACTGAGGGAGCTATTCGGAAGCTTGTGACTAAATTTCGAACCCAGTTTACATTATTGGACATTAAACCGCCAACACGCAGACGTAGAGTGAGGACTGAAGAAAATATTGCGGCTGTATCCGCCAGTGTTAGTGATGACCGTGAAATGTCGATTCGCCGCCGTTCGCAGCAATTGGGGCTATGTTATTCCACTACATCTTGCGACAGGATTTGGGTGTAAAACCTTATAATATACAGCTGGTGCAAGAATTGAAGCCACACGACTTCCCACAACGTTTCCAATTTGGTGAATGGGCGCTAGCAAAGTTGGAGGAAGATTCACATTTTTATCGAAAAATTGTGTTCAGCGACGAAACTCATTTCTGGCTGAATGGGTACGTTAACAAGTAAAATTGCCGCATCTGGAGTGAAGACCAGCCAGAAGCATTGCAAGAGTTACCAATGCATCCCGAAAAAATCACTGTTTGGTGTGGATTATGGGCCGGTGGCATCATCGGGCCGTACTTCTTCAAAGACGATAATGGCCGGAACGTAACTGAGAATGACGAGCGCTACCGTGCGATGATAACAAACTTTTTTTTGCCTAAAATGGAAGAGCTGAACTTGGCTCACATGTGGTTTCAACAAGACGGTGCCACATGCCACACCGCACACGAAACAATGGCCCTATTGAGAGGTGAGTTCGGTGAACAGTTTATCTCACGTTTGGGGCCCGTCAATTGGCCGCCTAGATCGTGTGATTTAACGCCGTTGGACTATTTCCTTTGGGGCCATGTTAAGGCTAATGTCTACAGGGATAAACAGCAACGATTGACGCACTGGAAGCCAATATTGAAGCATTTATTCGTGAGATACCGGCCGATATGTTGGAGAGAGTGTGCCAAAATTGGACCTTGCGCATGGGCCATCTAAAGCGGCGCCGCGGCCAACATTTACATGAAATAATCTTTAAACATTAAATTATATCGACCGTTCTATCGACTCAAATAAAGATTTAATCGTTTTTTCTAATTTTTTGTGTTTTTTGAAAAGCAAATCCTACACCTCTTAAAAAATCACCCGTTATTTGGATAAAAAATTGAAAAAACAGTCCCATCACCTAATTTACAGACCTCGTCTAACCGATTGCGCTATAACTCAAAACGAGCAGATTACAACGAATGGAGCACGTTAGGTATGGCGTATTCCTGTCGCCATATAAATATGAATTAAAACATGGCGGAGATGAAATCCCATAAAATCCCGATGACAACACGATGTTACGTGTACGTATGGATCCAGTCAGTATCCACCATAAATCAAATTGTTAGCTGGGATATATTTTTTTGTTTACAGTGGATACATCAGTGTACATGTATGCATATTGTACGGCTGCTAGACGAACAGATGCTGAACATGTAAACACAGATTAACGGAAGATATGGGGTGTTGTTACTCTGATAATGGGTATTATCGAGCCACTAATGGAACTGCTGAGAGATATTTTTTTTTATTTTACCACCCATACTTAAACTAAGGAAGCAGTTATCAAAATTATTAGTCCGGTATTTGGCAGGCTATACAGGACATTCCATATTGAAATGGATATAGTGAATTGGTAGGTGGTATCAACCGACACTATTTCATATTTGAAAATAAATTGTTATTACAGAGATGCAGTTTGACTTACCTAAATCAGCTAAATCCTTAATACCACGTATTTCAGGCACTACTGAACCCATTTTGTTGAAATTTCGCACGATAAAGCAACCTAGGTGTAACCTTAAAGAAAACCTATGACCGTGCTCGATTTTTTCACTTTCTTCCTTTCTTTCAGAATCAACATCTTTTGAAATGTTGACAAAAAAGTTCATAAATGGTGCTTGTTAATAACCGAAATCGATTAGTTGCGCTTCTTTTGGCTTGTTAATCTTTTTCATTTACTGAGATATATTTTTTTAACTCAAAATTTCAAGGTTTGTCAACTTGTTTTATCAACATTTCAGAAAATAATGGTTAACTTTGAACTAAAAATGCTTTGGGAATTCAAACTTCCAGGGTCAGATTCACTTTTCTTCTTGTAATTTTGATAGTTGCATATGTTTAGTCCAGACTTCCCCAAACTTTTTTGTGTCGTAGACCCCTTGCCATGTTTTTCCGTGTTGGGTAGACCCCCTACTTACTTGATATTGATTTCCTGTAAATTTCTAACTGTAGTGAAGTTTAGTGTTAAAAACACATGTTAATTTATACATTTATTAATTGAATTTAAATTAAAACTACTCAAAATAAAGTTTTGTATCTGTTATGTAAAATATACGTAAAATTAAATAAACAGGTGTCTGACCAATAAGTGTCCGCATTGGGAATAAGTGCCCGCATTGAGAAAAAAATAAGAGGGATAAAATAAAAAAAAGTGAAAAATGATAAAAAAAAAGTTTTTTACTTAAAATAGTACAATAAGCGAGTTCGTTTATTAATTATAACATAGACGTATGTTCTAAAATAATTTCACGGTTAGTTTGATTAAATTCCGCTTCTTATTCGTTTAATTTATCTAAAAATAGACAAAAAATTAACGAATTTTAGTGTGTACCTATCCTTGGATTTTCAGAATAATTTAAAAAAAAATATTTTCTATAAAGGGGGGTTCTTTAAAAAAATCAATGGGGGCACTTATTCCCAATGCGGGCATTTATTGGTCAGACACCAATAAACATAAAATAAACTATAAATAAAATAACATAAGCAATAAGTCAATATTTTTAGTGAGAAGGATGAACCTGATGCTTTAGTAATAAATTATCAACATTTGGCGTCAATTTTGTAAGGGTTAATCTTAAATCTCCTCGGCTAATGATGTCCAGTCTGTTTCTTTTTTTCGTTAGGAGATTGGTAACAGCGCTGAATCCCCTTTCCACTAGGTATGACGATGGAAAGGAAATTAAAAATGTCCTCGCTATATTCCATAATACGGGATAAGTAACGGGTATGTTGTTTTGCAGCCAGAATTGCTGATATCCGTTTTTAAACTGAACCTTAAGTTCTTCGTTTGTACTTAGTTCAGTCAGTTCCTCTAGTATTATGACATTCGTTTCTTCTATGTCGCCATATGGATTAATTATCCACGGTGGTATTACCATTGTCAAAATATCCTCAAACCTAGATTCAAAATCTGAATAGAGGGCATTTAAATGTTGAACGTAAGTTGAAACGTCGTCTTCCTGGCAGCTTGTCTGTGACAAATTGGGGAACTGAGAAAATTCGTCCCGTCCAATATTTTGCTTCATTAGTTTAACTCTGGCAAGAAACACTGAAAAGACGGACTTTGTTTTAATCAAATTTAAACTGTCGCCTTGTAATTGCAAATTAACCATATTAAATTTTGTAAACAGGTCTGTTAAATAGGCGATGTCTGTTTTCCTCTTCATTAAATTTTCGTTTAAAATTTTATCTTTAGTATCCTGAAATTCTAAAATAGTCTCAAAAAGTGCAAAAAATCTTGTCAAACATAAGCCTTTCGATAGCCAGCGTACTTCAGTGTGAATGAGTAATTGATGAAAGTGTTCGTCATTTTCTTCACACAACTGCGCAAATAACCGCGTATTCAACGCGTTGCTTCGGATCCGGTTTACTGCATCAATGACTAAATGAAGTGATTCATGCAATCTAACACTCAAATTTTTAGCAACTAAATGTTGTCGATGGATAACGCAATGTATTGCTAACAGCCCTGACACATTTTGTTTTAAATAGCTTATAAATCCACGATAACGTCCAACCATGGCAGGTGCTCCATCTGTAGCTACTGATATTATATATGATAAAGGAATTGCTTTTTCAATGTAGTAATCCTTCAAAACATGAAATATTGATTCACCTTTCGTGTCGGTTATCAAAGTTCTTGCGAAGAGCAGTTCTTCGTAGATTTCTTGATTCATAATAAAACGAAAATATGCCAATAATAATGCTGCATTATCAGGTAAAGTTGACTCGTCCAGTTGTATAGAGAAATGGGTCGTTTGCAAATAATTACATAAGAAGCTTTCAATATCAGAACTCATTTCATCAATACGTCCTTCAACAGTATTGTTGCTTAAGGGAATTCTTTTGATGAAAGCAGATGCAGGTTTGTGTAAAACAGTTTTTAAAACCTCTTCAACGGCTGGAAAAATTAACTTCTCTCCGATAGTATGCGGTTTTCCGGATTTTGCTATAAGTAACGAGATATTGTAAGACGCCCGCAAACCATCATCATTTCTTTGTGACGTCGAAGCGAACATTCTGTCCAGTGTAGGTCTCTTCTGAAATTTATCTTTGAGTGTTTGAAAGTATTTCAAATCTTTCTCTGTTTTATCAGGGTGGCATCTTCTCAGATGATCTTGCAGTTTAGATGATTTCATAGTGTCATTGCCCAAAGCTTTGTTGCATAAAAGGCACATAGGCGATTGTTTGTCCGGTAATGATGGAATGAAGCCAAATTTCAAATAATCAACACTGTACTGTATATTAAAAATATATTTTGATTTTTCCGTAAACATTCCATAATTCGAACATCTTCTTGCAAGAATTAGCTCGAATTACGGAGATTGCACTGTAATTATATTACCGATTGCTAAAACTTTCAAAAAGAAACTATTGAGGAGTACTCGTGTAATTTTGCATGATTGAATGTTTAACTACTAATAACTAAAGTTATGATTGGCTAACTAGTACAAAACTAAAATTTAATAAAAAATAATGTACTTACTTTTCTCCAGCACTCTCAAACAAAATAACACTGACTCACTATAATTTGTGTGATATACTATCTGTTTATATTTTTTTAAAATATTTTCTTAGCACTTTCCTTTTCAAGATTCAGGAAACGAATAAACGTATTTGTCCCACATTCGTGTTTATAGAGTGACGAATTGAACAAGTCAGTGCAAGGTAGCGAAGCTCTGAGACTGCGACTCTCAGGTTTTTACAAGTTCAAAATGTATTGCGACCACAAAGCGAATACCAACATCCTACAACTTACACAATTTTATAAACATATATAATAATTTTTTTACCTCATAGGTACTTTTATAAATAATGTATATGTTTTGATATTATAAGATAGTATGATGTAAGTAAATAGGTACTATCAGTGTATGTGTTGAGATCCACTATCGTGGACCCCCATATTCATTTCATGGACCCCCAAATTTTTTTTCGCTGACGTACACCCCTTGCAGGTTGTCATAGACCCCTAGGGGCCGATATAGACCACTTTGGGAATCAATGGTTTAGTCGATCATGGAATATCTTTTTAGGAGTTCAGAAACAAGGGCGTGTTTTTTTGCATATAACGTCATCTTATATGTAGAAACCCAGAGAGCTTGGTTTCGAATATTACTAGCAATTTGGGCTGTACGATTTTGTTCTTAGCGTATCGAGACTGTCAAACTGTCGACCAGAGAGATATAGTGGATAATGACATTGCAAACAGTGTTTGCGGAAGGCAAAAGTCGATCCAAAAGTTGGCGCTAGGAACTAAACCACGTTTTGGATAATCCGCCACTGAATTTAACTTCTTCAAGTTTCAGGAGTTACTTGCTTTATTTGCATGATGAGACTCACAATCTTACCGTTAAATCTCTTGAAATATAATCAATGGAAAAATGCGCTACACAACCGAAATATTTGTTCGGCAGAGCATGTAAAAGGATATTTAAAAATAACCGCAGAACCATTAAGCCTATCACGAACTGCCGAATGATATATCGCTATCAACAGGGCTCGATTAAATATTCATGTTAGGCATCCCGAGCATATTTGAAAAAATCATAACTCATTCCGAGCTGTTTATTGTATCTAGGAAACCGGAACTAACGTCAAATAAACGGGCAGGTATTTTTAATCTGTAGATTTTTAAATGAAGCAGCCGCGAAGGTAGAAACCCGAATATTCATTCCGTGACCGCTCTACTATTTAGTTGTGTAGGTTGTAAAGAAGGCTGCTATGGGTCCCTATACGCCTGACAAACATTCTTTTGTCACTACTAACTAGATGTGTCGCCTTTATTAAAATAGATATATTTAAAAACGAATAACATTTTATTACCAAAAATGTATTTATAATATTTATGCAATAATAAAAAAATAAATTTTTAACTCTTTTAAATTCGAAATAATAATAATTAATTATTCTATTTAATAAACCCTGATACACAAGGTTCAAAAAAATTTTTCTTGATAGTTGCATTCACCTGGAGAGCCTCTATGACATATTGGCCGCTGCCACTGCTATCAAATCCCTTTTCCATTCTTATATCTTACAGATAAATACTGTTTACTACAAGTAAATACATATTATAACTAAAGGTACTATTGTTGATTGTTGTATTCGTACAGAGTTTGTCCTGAAAGTAATAGGACTCATTTTCTTCTGCTATGACTGTACTTCGGAGGGTGCGTGCACCGACTGGATTCGGTAGAGGGCGTTCCTAGCTAACGAATGAGCGGCTGGTCAGTTATCTCCGAGCACTTGGAGAGTCAGGACTGGCATTTTCGCGCAACGTGTTTCTGTGAGTGGTGCAAGCCGAAAATGCAGCGTCCGGTGGATCAGAGGTACGCGATTAAATTCTGTGTGAAACTCGGTAAATCTGCGACAGAGACGTTTGATATGATCAAGCAGGCCTACCCAGGTGTTGCTTTAGCAAGAAGTGGTGTGTTTCGGTGGCACAAGGCCTTTTTGGAAGGCCGGGAGTAGGTCGCTGATGAAGACCGTGCAGGAAGACCTTCGACGTCGACAAACACCGATAATGTGACTCGTGTGCGCAAACTTTTGAACTCAGACCGTCGACTAATTATTCGTTTAATTGCCCAGATGATAAATTTACCAAAATCTGTGGTTCACGACATTGTGACACAGCATTCGAACGTGCGCAAGGTGTACGCGAAGATGATCCCAAAAGTGCTCACTGACGACCAGAAATTGCGGCGAGTGGAAGTGTACCAAGAAAATTTGAATGTGTGAAAGTGACCCCCAATTTTTGAATAACGTAATCACAGGTGACGAGTCGTGGACCTTTGAGTATCATCCCGAGACAAAGATGCAATCTTCCGAGTGGCACAGGATGGCCTCTCCTCGTCGAAAAAAGGGAAGAATGAGCAAATACAAAGTGAAAACGATGCTCATTGTCTTTTTTGACATCAAAGGCATCGTCCCCATGAATTTGTTCCTCCTGGACAAACCGTCACCGCGGCTCTCAAGGCTATTCCGTAGAATGCGTTCCGTGACGCCTTCAATGCTTGGAAATCGCGCTGGCAGCGCTGCATCGACGCAGAAGGAGCCTATTTTTGAAAGTTTTTAAAGAATTGTAACGATTGGCTCAATAAATTTTTTTAAATCGACTCAGTCCTATTACTTTCCGGACAAACCCTGTATATCCCTTCATTTTGACAGCTTGAGCGTCTCACCCTACTTGATAGCTTCGAGTATTTCGAAATATTAGGAAACGAATGACGTGTCGACATACATACTACCTTCTATCTTTGTCTATCATGTAGCTGCAAAACCGTTCTGTGAGCAGACATTGCGTACTCTTTATTATGACAGTGTTGCCGGATGTTAAGGCAATTCTCAGATATGCTATATCTCAAAACGAATCAAATTAAATATAGTAACATTTATATAGTAGTAAAAAAACGGTAGAGAAGGCCGTTACTGTCCTCACAGATCACATGTCCAATACGGCATACATGTACTCTTCCATCAAGACGTCTAATATACTATTATCTAGGACCGGTTGAAATAAAAAATAGAGCAGTTTTAAGGTACAATGGAAATTAAAATAAATTGACCGTACTATTGAATCACCGGTTGTTGCGTCATTACTTAACAACGAAAAATTAGGGCAGTCATCGTTAACACCATATTGCGTCCAACATAAAGTGGTCTGTGCGCGCGTGGACTTTGTAGCCCGGTCTTAGATAAAGAAGTTGCAAATATATATTTTTTTTGAATTGGCGATGATCAGCAGAATCTTTTCTGTACAGAGGTCAGAGAGATTGGTGAGAAGAGCAAAGAATCAGGTTGGAATGACAACAAGGTGACTCTTTGTCTTGTTGGCGATCTGCTTCAAATATATTGATCGTTATATTAATTTTTTACCTAAAATCTAACAACAAACACTAGCTACTGTAGGAGTTACTCATTTGTAAATAAAACAACACAAACAGTAAGTAGAACTGAGTCAGACAAAGGTGGATATATTACGCCTACGTTCAAAAATAGAGCATGTTCTGGCATTGTCTCCAATGACGTTGCTACATTAGTCCAAAACTCATACATATTTGATGTCGATTAAATTGTTTTATCACATTGATTATCTGTCAGTGGGATAGACTAATGCGAATGCAAGTTTAATGTGTTTATCTTACTGAAATAGAGTCTAGATTTAGACTAGTTCAGTTTAAAGAAAAAGCTGTCTGGTGACTTACTCCCTACGCAAAAGCACGGGAGCTATGGGTACTGCGTAGGCCATTTAAAAAACTTTATCGCTCTAGAGCAGCAAAGCTGGCAAAGTGGATCGGTCGTCGGCGCAAACTTTGCTAGCTGGTTGTAAAGATATAACCTAAATATAAGAGCAAATGGTAGTGGATATTCTTCAAGAATTTCAAATACTGTGTCAATCTCTCATGTTTGTCTGCCAGCTAAATGGAACCACATATGGTTGAAATACTTTTTCTTCTTCAAGTACAATTGACAATTCGACCTGAGAGACATGGAGGAAAACTACAGGATAACATTCTAGTATTACAAGTTACCAATAATTTTGGTAAATTTTATTTCTCATTTCACCCTATTATTCTTTTCAATTTTGAATTACCATTTTTTTTATTGTTCATCATTCTTTGTGGGTCATATTTCAAAATTAATACAGGTTAGGAAGTTTCTCAACTGGATCTTATTGTCTTGATAAACGTGACTAAAAACGGTAAGAGCATGGTGACATAGGACATACAGTAATGGACAAAAGTATATAGACAAATTAATATTGCGCTGTATTTCTCTTTTAACTTGTTTTATTAATACACCAACCTGTATACATAATTCGTTATAGTATAATACTCACTTATATATAAATAAATTCATTAGTCTCCCTTCAATAAAAAATTAATTGAAAAAAAACTGGAACTATGAAGGTTAAAAATATATGGACAAAGCAAAACAATTATAGAAAAAAGAAGCAAAGTTCATTAAATTATAGAAAACCAACCATGTTTGTGCCTGGCATCGTCTCGGCATAGATTCTAGAAGTTTTTGATATAAG